GATGGATGGATGGATGGATGGATGGATGGATGGATGGATGGATGGATAATAAAATTTATGTGTTTAAACCATGCATAAGTTTAAAAAAAAATAAGCATATTTAAATCAAAATATTTTATTTCAGCTATGCTCATTCCATGAGAATAGAGTACGCCTTTTAGATTATCACATAAGTTTCTCTGTGTGCAAAACTGATAAAAGTGGTACAATTGTAAATTATAACGGGGCAATATTCAGCTCCATTTGATAATCAGCCTTACTCCATCATTCAGATTGCTCACCATCATCTGAGTCATTCCACAGTAACAGAAACATTTTGTTTCCAAACTGAGGTGACACTGCATGGAGCAGCATCTCTTGTCTGTCTGTGGTTTTATATTGCTCTTTAGCAGTTGACTCCCTTTTTCTTTTTCAAAGTCTGCTTGCAATTTCTGCTGCAAATCTTACATTTGTAATAAGCTGTTTCATTTATATAGAACGAAAAATTAATGAGGGAACATCAAGAAAAAGTCAACAGACTTCAAAGTCGACTAAATCAGGCAGAAGAGAGGGCAACTACAGCATCTCAACAGGTATCTTAACTAAGCTGGTCCAACTAAAAAATGAATAAAGATCTCAATAAATTTTTAAAAAATTAAGAGAAAGGGGAAATACACTTCACAGAACAATGGTTACTGCAACTGTTAAAATTAATGCATATACTGTATGTATGTACATGCATGACAAGCCCTTATAGATATAATTTTTTGTAGTTGCTTTGCTTTCCCCTTTTTTATATTAGTTTTTCTGTTATACTTACATAAAGGCAAAACATTATTTAAAAATGAATGCATATAAAGAACTAGGGGACCTAGTAAAAGTGGATGTCTATCTAGGAACTGTGAATAGTTTTCAAAAACTAACATAAAATTACAACTTAAACCACCATGTGGAAATTTCAACATTAGTAGCAAATTATGCATCAGAATAGTGTTGCTTAGCACAACCATTCTTTTCAATCTATCAGTTTGGAAGGTATTTGGTAGATAAAATATAAGAATGCAATATAGAAACTGCTAACACTAACACTGAGCATGAAACTGAGCAAACTCCGGGAGGCAGTGAAGGACAGGAAGGCCTGGCGCAAT